TCATACTGAGAATTATCTTTAATATCTGAACATCTCATACTGAGAATCCTGGTTCTACCACGTAGTAGCTATGTGACCTTTGGCAATTTTTTTTTAATTTTTCTGTGCTTCATTTTTCTTGTACAAAGGGAATAATTATCATACCTATGTGATAAGGCTATTATATAGATTCAGTGAATTAATATTTTTGAAGTGCTTTGAATACTACCTGGTACATGGTAAGAACTCCATATTTGTTTGATAATACAAACAAAATAAAAATGATAGTCCAAAATTTTTTTTTCTTTGAAAAAGGACCAGAGTTTTGAAGCAGATACAGGGGTTGAAAAAAGCTGTAGAGATCCAGGTTTAGGGCTGGGATAAGAATCCAGCTCGAAGTTTAAGTACAGATGTAGTATACAGTTAAGAAGGTGCACTGCCTTGAGGAGTCCTTCACCCCAAGTAAAACTTAATGTGCTTTAGGTGCATGATCTGTAACGTGCCTCTGCTTTTCTGGCTGTCGGCCAGGGATACCAAACAGAGACTGACAAGATCCCTTAGATCCTTTGCCCTGACCCATCTACCTGCAGCATGTGTCCCTAGACATTCTTATGGCCCACTTCCTTACTCCATTCAGGTCCCTCCTCCTTAGAGAGGACTTCCCTGATCACCTCCAAATATCTATCACTGCTGTATGTTTCTTCACAGCAATGAAAAGTATCTGGTATTATATATTTGCTTGTTTATAGTCTATATCCCTAGTGTATAAGCTTTATGAAAGTAGTGACTTTTCCTTGATCATTGCTGTATTCTCAGGGACTAGAACCAGTGCCTAATACATATTAGATATTTAATACACATGTCATTCAATCATGCAAGTATGAATGAATGAATGAATGAATGGATGGATGTTTCATGGCCTGGAACCCAGGGGGGAGGGGCAGTTAAGTCTCTTTCTTTGGTTCTTTTTTTTTAAGATTTTATTTATTTATTTGACAAAGACACAGCGAGAAAGGGAACACAAGTGGGGGGGAGGGAGAAGCAGGCTCCCCGCCGAGCAGGGAGCCCGATGTGGGACTCGATTCCAGGACCCTGGGATCATGACCTGAGCTGAAGGCAGATGCTTGACAACTGAGCCACCCAGGTGCCCCTCTTTCTTTGGTTCTTAATGAATGTATTTATAAGAAAATGTAATGGTTTGGGCTCCCAAATCTGGGACTTGAGATCAGGTATAGCCATGAAACTGCTGCATGTGGGGCTTTGCCCTGCTTTGCTTCATGGCAGGCATTGTTCTCATCTGGAGGCCACCTCATGTCACATGGAGCCAGATTCCCATCTCTGTCCATTGGGTCTGGAGTGTTCTTGCTGCTGATAACTTTTCTCAACTGGCACTTAATGTCAACATTCTTTTCCCATTCTGCTGAAGTGGTTATATTAATATTTTGTGGAAGTGTGAGAAATCTCCCTTGTATGAGGAGAGGAGAGAACAAAAAATATGTGGGGGGGGTGTATTCTCTTTCTTTAAGACTGTTGGAAGTCTTAGACCATCAACAGAGTTTAGAAGGTAAAGGTTCATTTTCATTATTATCATCACTAACATTAATTGAGTCCTCACTGTGTCAGATACTGTTCTAAATGCTTTACATGTGTTAACTCATTTAATACACACAACCCTATACACACAACACGCACAACACACCCTAACCCTAACTCTAACCCTTCCCCTTGCTACTAGTTTGACAGCAGAGTCAACACATGGCAGGAAGAGATACCAGGACCCAGGAAAGAGTTATAAGTGTCCTCCACCCCTGGACTTCCAGATACACTTGCCACCAAGCTGCTGAACTAGCTTAACTGTTGACTCTCTCCCCCAAGATTGGTTTCAGAAGAATTGTAAGAGAAAAACACCAAGGAAAGGGGAGAACACTGTGAGAGAACCTAGGGTGATGGGGCTACTTGGAGTTGGTGTGTGTCGGTTGATGGTTTGGGTGTGGGGCAAGAGGCAACCAGCCTTGCCTGTGGGAGGATAAGGAACTGCTCGATCCCCTGGATTGTCATGGCTTTGGGACAAGCAGCACCTTGTCCATAGCAAGGTGTCTTCAGGAATAAAATCAAGGCAGTGGAGAAAAGCAGGTGTCTCTCCCCAAATCACAGGGCTGGTGACCTATAATCTAAGGATCCTCAAAACATTGTTTCATCCTGGGGGGCAGAGTGGAAGCCCTGACCTGAAGAGATGTTTTTCAGGGTGGGATGGGTTAGCTGTGGATTCACCCCAGGTCTCATCCATCCTCCCCAGACCTTTGGGAACTGGCAGGGACTGAGGTCTGGCTCATTTACACTGCCTGACAGAGTAGCCAATACTCCCAGAACAAAATGAGTTCAGGGACCAGGACAATAAGACATTTCAGGTTCACAGCTGTTTCACAAGAAAAAAATTGTGCTGGGTGATTTGATGGAGATTTTTTTTTTAGATTTATTTTAAAATTTATTTTAGAGAGGGAGAGAGGGAGAGAGAGCAAGTGTGAGTGGGGAAAGGGGCAGAGGGAGAGAATCTTCAAGCAGACTCCCCACTGAGCTCAGAGCCTGATATGGGGCTCGATCCCATGACCCATGAGATCATGACCTGAGCCGAAACCAAGAGTTGGATGCTCTTGGAGCCACCCAGGCACCCCAGATGGAGATTCTTTCAGAAGTAGAACTATTAGAATGGACAGTCTAAGAATTTAAAATTAGCCTGATGTACATACTAAAATATATGAAAGGAGAATATTAGCAAGAAACAATAAGAAGGAAACAAAAAAAAAACCAAGTAGAAATATTAGGTATAAAAAATAAAATGGTTGAAATAAAGAATGTAATAGATGGGATTAATAACAATGGATAGAACTTCAGAACAAATTAGAGAATGAAAGATGCAAATTTAGGAAACCTCTCAGAAGGAAGAAGAAAAGAACAAAGAAGTAGAAAATATAAAACAAAAGGTAAGATATTGAAGATACAAGTAGAAGCACTAGCATCTGACTACTAGGAGATCCAGAAAAGGAAAAATAAAAGTGGTAGAGGAGGAAATATTTGGAGAATTAATGGAGAAAATTTACTTACCATAATTGACAAAATAAGATGTAACAGTCTGGACCAAAGGTGCCCGTAGAATGTCAAAGAAGAGAGAGAAGGAAAACCTCACAGCTGGATATGTTATAGTGAACTTTTTAGGATTTCAGAGACAAAGAAAATTCCAAAAACTTACAGAGTGAAAAACCAGATCCTATATAAAAATTAGAAGCAGATTGACTAGATAGTTGTCAGCAGCCACATTCTATGTAAAAATGCAATGGAATCATATTTTGGTTTTCTATTGTTGCATAACAGACTACCTCCAAAACTCCATGACTTAAAACAGCAACTATTTTATCATATCTTGTATGATCTACTTCTACATATTGGATTGAGCTGCTCTACATGGGGTTGACGGAGGCTGCCTGGGAGTATTCACCTCATGGACAGACTGGTCTGGAGGGTTCCAGAGTGGCTCTCCTCAGTGCCTGATGCCTTGGTGGGGAAGGCTGGAAGGCTAGACTCAGCTGAGGATGAACTGCTAGATGCCTGCATGTGATTTCTCCACATAGTTTCTCCAGCGTGGTGGCCTCAGGGTAGTGGGACTTCTTACGTGGTGGCTGGCTTCCCCCAGAGTGAGTGCTCCAGGAGGCTCTGGTGGGAGCTGCAAGTCTTCTTATGACCTAGACTTGGCAGTCCTAGGATGTCACTCCCCCCACATTCTCTTGCTCTCGCAAATCATCAAGGCCAACCTAGATTTGAGGAAAGAGGATTTAGACTCTACCCCTTAATGGGAGGAGTAGCAAGGAATTTGTGGCAATCTATCACAGATCCACAAAGTGTTTTTAAGTATCGAAGAAAGGGAACTTGAGAACCTAGAATATCACAGCCATCCTTCAAAAATATTCTGAGCCATGTAGGCTTCTAGATGCTTTGCCACAGAACGAACTACACTGGAACTAGTTTGGGGTAAAATATTTAAATAAGAGCAGAGGAAAAAAAAAGCTAGATTTTAAGAGATAAATGAGAAAAATTAAGTAAAGATGGCCAGATTCCTGAGTAAAGTTTGATGTCTAAAAATCAATTAGCTAAGACCAAAGGAAAAGAGAAAATATATCCATCATCATCCAGAATCAAGTCTAGCTAATATTATCATGATAAGTGTTGGAAGGACAGAGACCAGGGGACTTGAGTGTGCCAAATTTCTTTTCTTACAGGGTGGGAGGGGATATAATATCAACTTTAAAAAAATGAATTAAAGGGAACATAGAAGAAGTGGGATAAATGGGGGGAGTAGGTGACTTGGCATGAGTCACACAGCCATTGGTGGTGGAGCCAGGTGTTAAACCCAGGTGCTCTGATATCAGAACCCACGTGCGTGAGTGAAGCATTATCATTGCTGTAACCTCACTAGCAGAGTGGTCGCAAGGACATGTTGCTGCTGGTCGGGTGTTCTTTTCTCTGTTTTTGGTAATTTCCTTTGTTCCAGGCTGTGAATGGACAGAGGGAGGGCCCTCTCCTGTGTTTGAGCCCGGAGCCGTGAGCCACCTGGTCACATGGCAGGATGGCCGGTGTAGCAGTGGGTTCCTGGCTTCTTTGCCCCAGCCAGAGTCCCATCTCAGTGTGGCCTCAGGGTTTGGCTGTGCAACCATCTTCTGGCTTTTGAAGAATAGGTATGGACAACTGATTTTTTAATCGGGTGCTGAATTTCCAGGGAAATGAGAGTGGCCAGGGGATTGTACCTCCAGCCGGTCAGCATCACTCCATCTGCTGGAGCATCCCTCAGTGAGGTGGCCTGGCACAGGGTATGGTTGCAAGACCTAGACTTGGTCTAGAACTGCTTCATTTCTCAGAAGGCTCTTTGTTGGTTATCTGATTCTAAACCAGAGGGGGAAAGAAAAAGGCAGAGAGGGCAAGGGACTTGCCAAGGGTTCCATGGTAAGTTCATGGTGGGGTCAGGGCTGTTGAGAACAGCCAGTGTTCTGCTTTCTCAAGCGTGGTGCATCCTCCCCTGAGACCACTCCCTGCAGGCCGACTCCAGCCAGCTTTGCTCTGAGTGGCTGGGAAGTCCTCACCCTGGGAAGTTCAGCATGTGGGGTTGCTTGCTGCCACCCAGCTACGCCATGTCTACTTCACTGCCCGCAGCTAGGTGGGGCACAGGCTTTCAAGTTGCTATTGGACTACATTGAATTGTTTTTGATATGAAAACTAGCCCAGAGTTCCTGAAGTCCTACGATGCTGCTGGCACCATCCATGACTATGTGGTTGCCATGCTGTGTGGCTTGCCAAGATCACTGATGTGCGACCAGAATGCTGCTAGCTGGGGATATTTCAACACTCAGAGCCAAAGCTGGAACTTGGAAATGTGAGTATATCCTTGCAAGCTGGCTCCAGGCTAACGGCCAGAATCTCGAATGTGAGAGATTTAGTGGGGCTTTCCCATTTGGGAACAATAGTGGAAGATTCCAAGAGCCTAGGAATCAGGTTCCCCTGCCCCTTAGCCTGTCCAGTCACCAGGCAAGGGTGGGCCTGGCTATAAGTGAACCCTTGGAGGGGGACACCTCTTACACCCTGCTGTTCTGCTCCCCTACAGCTGCCCAGACCTAGGTTGGGCTCCCCCGTTCTCTATGACTCGGACCGAGCCTGCAGCTTTCAAAGAACAACTGTCAGTGTAATAAATTTTAAAATAAAGGGGCGCCTGGGTGGCTCAGTCGTTAAGCGTCTGCCTTCGGCTCACGTCATGATCCCAGGGTCGTGGGATCGAGCCCTGCGTCGGGCTCCCTGCTCAGCGGGAAGCCTGCTTCTCCCTCTCCCACTCCGCCTGCTTGTGTTCCCTCTCTCGCTGTTGTCTCTCTCTGTCAAATAAATAAATAAAATCTTTTAAATAAATAAATAAATAAATAAAATTTTAAAATAAGGTTAGGAAGTGAAAGTAGTAGTCTTGAGGGATGTCTTTTAAAGTTCTTTTTAAGGAATTGTTTGCCATTTCAGATCCAGGAATCCTGTGCCCTCTAAGTTCACTTCCTTCAGGTTCCAAATTCTGAGCTCTGTAAAAAAACAAAAAGCACCTGGTAGTTCAGGTAAAGGACTTTCTATCATGTTGTGTAAAATTGACAGTCCCCTGTTTACTAACCCTGAGTGATGAATGCAGTTGGTGTTCAGGAGACTGATGGGTCTGACTTTGGTTTGGCCGGTGCTAACTGACTATAACTGCTGAAACTCTGTCTCCCTTTGCAGAGTACGTTCCCTTCAAACACAGAAGGCCGGATAGTGGTGACATCTGGCTCTTTCTGACTCTTCCTGATCACCCCTGCTTAAACTGGTGGTTTTCGCCCCTGGAAGGCCAGTCCCAAGCTTTTGAAAGCCAGTGTTCACTTTTTAAAAAATGCAAATCTGTTTCTCATGGTTTAAAAAAAGCCACAGAGGCCCTCTGTCAAAACACTGGATTCTACCCTCCTTTCTTGTATGTGTGTCCTGTAGGGTTTTCCTTCACTGAGCTTCCTGGAAACAACAAAGACCCAAAATCCAGCTCCGGGTAAATGCATTGTCCATTTTTGGATTGCAGATTGAGGGCCTCAGGCTTTCCCGTGCACCTGCTCCCAGACATCGCTGAGGCCGGCAGCGTGGCGGGCAGAACTTCCCGTGCCTGGTTTGAAATCCCACAGGGGACACGGGTGGGCGTGGCCTTGGGTGATTTACAGGCCTCCGTCTATTCCTGTATGGCCAAAAGGACAGATGCAGGTAAGTGTTTCTTTTGTTGGCTCCTCAGACTTCTACTGGTGCCTCCTAAGCTCCAGCTCTGTGTGAGGGCCCAAGGGGCACCTGTAACCAGCAGCCTCAGCATCCTGTTGATCACTCTTCTGTGACCATGAAAAACAGCCTCCTCCCTGCGGGTGAAGCCCCTCCTGGAGCTTACAATCCAGCAGGGCAAGTTCTGTCCCTGACCACAGTCTGTGTTTTTCTTCTTTAGGGCCAGGTAAGGGAATTGACTCTCTCTAGTTGGCTGATTTCTGCATAACTCTGTGACCCAAAAAGTAGATTAGTAGATTAGGGTTTTTTGTTGTGTCTTTGTCAATGGAAGTTCCATCCGATCTGATTAGGAGTGCAGTCTTTCTGCATTCAGGGTAAGAGAGTCACAGTGAGGTGGAGGCCGCAGTCTAGGGCAGGGCTTGGTAAACTTTTTCCGTAAAGGGCCAGATTGTAAATGTTTTAGGCTTTGTAAGCCATATAGTTTCTGTCCTAACAACTCAACTCTGCTGAAGCATGAAGCAGCCATAGCTAATACATAAATGAATAGGGGTATAGCTGTGTTTCAATAAAACTTCATTTATAGACACTAAAATACGAATTTCATAGCATTTTCATGTGTCATGAAATTTTCTTCTCCTTTTGATTTCTTCTTAACCATTAAAAAATGTAAGAACATGCTACTGGGATTGTAAAATGCTATAGCCCCTTTGGAAAACACTCTGGCAGTTCCTCAAAAGTGAAACATGGAGTTAGCACCCGACCTAGCATTTCCAGTCCTAGGTGCACACCCAAGAGAACTGGACACATGTCCACACAAACACTTCACAAAGATGTTCTTAGCAGCATTATTCATAAAATTCATAATTTCAAAATTAGCTGAGAGGGAAAAGTGAAATTCTCCCTATTTTGTTTGCACATATATGTGATAAAATCTCTTAAGGCCAACAGTTGTTCAAAACCTTTTCTCCCCAGTTTTTTTTCATATGTCAGCATCCTCCTTTTTAATTTTTTTATTATGTTCAGTTAGCCACTGTATAGTACATCATTAGTTTTTTTTATGTTATGTTAATCCCCATACATTACATCATTAGTACGTCATTAGTTTTTGATGATGCAGTGTTCAATGATTCATTAGTTACATATAACACCCAGTGCTCATCACAACCTCTGTCTTCCTCAGTACCCATCACCCTGTTACCCCCTCCCTTCTGAGACCCTCAGTTCATTTCCCCGGGTCCAGAGTCTCTCATGGTTCATCTCCCTCTCTGATTTCTCCCCCTGCAGTTTTCCCTCCCTTCTCTGTAACCCTCTGTGCTATTGCTTATGTTCCACAAATGAGTGAAACTAAAATCAATGCTTCAGGAAAATATGCTAAATTTATTCTGTGACTTTTAATTTTCCTAATATGGCATCTCTTGCCCATATCCCTTCATCTCAAAGTGTGAATGTCAAGGAACTCACATGGACTTTGGAGTCCAGCCCACTGGCCTGGGTGAGAATTTAGCCCCTCTTCTCCTTCGGTGTGACTTTGGACAGGTTGTTTTTTTTTCCCTGAGCCCTTGTCATCATCCAAAATGAGGGCAATGATATGTTTCTCATGGGACAGTTGTGGTGACACACTGGGATGATGCCTATAAAGAGCGTGGCTCTTTCTACCTTGGTGGTTTTCAAATCGTAGGCTGTTCCCTTGACAGAGGGCTGTCCTGTGCCTGGATGTAAATGTGCTTTCTCTGTAGTAAGTGAGGGACTAGTCAAATGGGAAGAAAGTAGGTATTGGGCTCCCTCTTCACTGAGCTGGTTGTAGTCTCTGGTTCCAGACTGGGTCTGCTGGCTGTGCTCACTTGTTCTGTGTCCATGGGCAAAGTTGGGTGGCCTCCGTCCTTGACACCTCCACTTGAGGGGACAGGTGGAGGGCATGTTGCTTCTGGTATAGAGTCATGGTGAAAGGCTTGATGTGGCAGAAAGTAAAGGTTATTGGCTTTCCAAGATTGTTTTCAGTCTCCTTGCTTCCAGCCTCCTAGTAGGTAGGAAAGTTACATGCTGATCTCAAGTTATTTCAGACCCCAACAGACTAAGAAGAACAGGCTTTTTGGCCAGATCTTGTGAGAAATGGAAGAGAAGAGACTTCCAGGGCAGTCCATAGGCCCTGGCCTCAATCCAGAGGAGAAAATCATTCCCTCCGTGCTGAGTCTGGGAGCTTTTCCCCTGCTGGTGGAGGAGGTTAAGAAAAACACCATGGATGTTATGCACAAACAATGAATCATGGAACACTACATCAAAAACTAATGATGTAATATATGGTGATTAACATAACAATAAAAATTTTTTTAAAAAAAGAAAAACACCATGGATATGAGAAGGAGGTGGCACTTGCTGAAAATGAATGAAACCTCCCCAGAGAGTCAAATACTTGGGCTGAGAGAGGTCTTACTATCTGTACATTGTTGTCTATTGCTGTGTAACAAATCACCCCAGTACTTAGTAGCCTAAAGCAGCAAACGTTTATTATCTCTCATAGTTTCTGAGAGTCAGGAATCTGGATGTTGCTGGATGGTCTGGTTTAAGGTCTCTCATGGAATTGCAATTAAGCTGTTGCTTAGCTGGGTCTGCAGTCATCCAAAGGCGTGACCAGGCCTGGTGGATCTACTTCTCAGCTCATTTACGTAGCTTTGGCAGGAGGCCTCAGTTTTTTGCCACATGGACCTCTCCGCAGGGCTGCTCATGACATGGTGCCTGCCTCCCCCAGAGCAAGTGATCCAAGACAGAAGCTGCAGTGCCTTTTTATGAGCTGGGCTCCAAAGTCACACAGGGTCACTTCTGCTTTATTTTCTCAATTAGAAGCAAGTCCCCAAGTCCAGCCCACACTCACAGGATGGGGGAAGTTAGTTAGGCTCTACCTCCTGAAAGGAGGAGTCTCAAAGAATTTGAAGACCTTTTTTTTTTTTAAACCAGCACACTCTCCCCTTGCCCTACTGTGACCTGTGACCTCTGAGTCAGCCGGACAGGCCTAATTTCTGCTTTCCTTGGACCCCAGTTCTCAACATCAGCACTTCAGTTCAGTTGGCAACCTCCATGCCTTCAGGATTCCAGCCGGCGCAGACTCCAGACCCTGCGGCTCCAGTCACCTACTTCCCGTACTTTGACAGGACCTACCTGGTGGTGGCAGCGTCACTCAATGGGGGCAACGTGCTGGCCATGTTTGTCCACATGCTGGTCCAGTGGATGGCGGATCTAGGTAAGGTGTTGCCCACATGGTGATGTGTTCCCCGCTTGTCCTTTGGATGCGGCAGTGTCTTGGTGCTGCCTGTGTTATTTAAGCTTCTAGATTCAGGTGTCACACCCAGCCCGGCTCCAGCACATCCCTTCCTTCTTTAGGGATCTGGGCCTGTAGCCTTTTTTGCTGAGGTGCCGTCACCTCTTTTTTTCTGAGGGAGCACCTTTTCCTCTAACACTGACTGGTCTCCTGGCTCTCCCCTGCCCACTGGTTACTTTGTCAGTAGCTCACCATCCCTTTCTGATGACTGCAGAGAGCTGAAAATAAAATGATCAAACACGGATGAGTGAAAAGACTCCTGGTATTTTACAATATTATAAAATCCTTATAGCATTTATTCCTGGCAAGTGGTTCCTGACTCCCTTTCTTGGAAGGGATCCCTGAAAAGTCTGATGCCCTCCTGCTTTCTTCAGGGTAGACTAGATCGGGCCTTTCTCTGCTCTTCATTTGCAGAGAAACATGTAGCCTCCTTCCAGGAGAGGTTCCCTTTCCAAGCCCTTAAGGTAGGAATGAAATTTCTGGTCAGCCATGCAGGTCTAGGGAAATCACTGGTCCACCTGTAGGAGCTCTAAATCAGGTCACTCCAGGAAGCTTTCAGCATAGTAACAAGGTGAGGGATGGGCGGTAGGGAGCACGTGGGAAGCTCAAACTGCTTGTGCAGACAAGTGTTGCTGACCCATGTCAGTGCTTTCCGGCTGGCCAGGGATGTCAGGATTTCAGGGGAATTCTGCCCCCTTGGCTGAGATCCCCTCAGGAATGAGTCATTAAGAGAACAGAACTCTGATTTTGTTTTGCCTTGTGTCAGAAAAGGTTTTCAAGATGCAGAACCAGTCATCAGAACCTTCAGGCAAGCCCTGTATTTAGATACTGTTTTAACTGGTTGGCTCTGTCACTGTTTTAACTGGTTGTTGACTGAGTTGACCTACCGGTCTTATCTTTACGCAGAAGTGACTGTTATTTTTACCCCTGAAAGAGATGGTAATATTATTTAATTTCTCTGTAAGATGCTTTCAAAAAGAAAAATCCCTTGCATTTTCATGGTTCTTGTTTTGATGAAACTGAGGACTTTGAAGGTTAGTATTGTACGTAATTTAACCTTCTAAGAAATTTCTACAATAATGTCATTTGATTAAAAAATACATAGATGCCGGGGTGCCTGGGTGGCTCAGTCAGTTAAGCGTCTGACTCTTGATTTTGGCCAGGTCATGATCTCGGGGTCCTGGGATCCAGCCCCCCATAGGGCTCTGCACTTGGCATGGAGTCTATTTGAGGATTCTCTCTCTCCCTCCCTCTGCCCCTCCCCCTGCTCACGTGTACTCTCTCCCTCTCTCTAAACTAAATAAATAGGGGTGCCTGGGTGGCTCAGTTGGTTAAGTGTCTAACTCTGGATTTTGGCTCAGGTCATGATGTCAGGGTTGTGGGATCAAGCCCAGCGTCGGGCTCCGTGCTTAGCAGGGAGTGTGCTCAAGATTCTCTTTCTCTCTCTCTCTTCCCCTCTGCTCCTCCTCCCTCTCTGAAATAAATGAATGAATGAATGAATAAATAAAATAAATCTTTAAAAAATATATAGATGCAAATACAATAAGGTTTGTTGAGATAAGAGACATTACATTTATTAACCAGATATGGAAATATTAAAGCATAAGATATAAAAATAAAACTCTCTATTCAGAATACCCTAGGTTTGCATTATTTTCCAGAAGTTAGGAAACAGGGAGTTCCACCCTCATGTGGTTTAGAGTAGGGACTCTGAAGCTAGGTGGCCTGGGTTTGAATCCCAGCTCTGCCACTTTCTTGTGCTTTGGGGCAGGTCGCTTATCCCCTCTGTTCTTCACTTTCTTCATCTGGAAAGGGATTATCCTAGATCTACCTTAAATAACTGTGGGGATCAAATGAGTTATATTGCAGAGCACTTAGAATGATGTCTGGCCCATAATAAGTGTGGTATAACTGCTTGTTAAATAAGCATAGTGGTGGTGCAGCCTGGGAGAGTGCCTCAGTTCTCAGCTCTGTCAAGTCATTATGTGGCCTTGGCAAGTCCCTTCCCTTTGGTGTTTCTTCAGCTCTGATGGCCTGTGGTTCTAAGCCTGTGATGTGAATATTTGGCAACTCATAGCATTTAATCCCCACAGTAGATTTGGATGAGGTGGTAAGCCAAGGGATGCAGAGACAGGACTAGAAGCCAGGTCCCTGAGACCTTCAGCTGCTATACTCCTTCCTTCAGGTGCCCCCCAAGGCTGGGGTCATGGCTCAAATGTTTCCCAGTGAGGAAGAACACTTTATTTTAATATTTCTTTAACATCCTTTTGGGAATTTTTATTAAGGACATACAAACACATCGTTTATTGTTTTCTTCTTTTAACTGTAGACTTTCTTTGGGTTTTGACAGTTTTCCACTAATGTCGTTTTTCTGTTCTAGGATCCAATTCAGGATACCACATTGCATTTAATCATCATATCTCCAGTCTCTCTGCTTTCTTTTTTTTTTTAAGTTTTTATTTATTTAAGTAATCTCTATACCCAGTGTGGGGCTTGAACTCATGACCCTGAGATCAAAAGTCATATGCTCTACCGACTGAGCCAGTCAGGTGGAGCTTTTCTATTTGAAAGCTTTCTATTTGATTGATCTGTTTTTTTTTTCTTTTTCATCTTCTTTTCCTTTTTTCCCTCATAATTTTATGGCTTTATATTCTTTATTCTTTCAGAAGTTTTCAATGTACTATGTTTCCTAGGATGTGGAGAGATAATCCCTCTTATACACTGCAGTAGTAGTGTAAATTGGTCCAGCTTCTATGGGGCGATTATGATGTACATATCTTTTGAACCAGCAGTTCTCCAAGGACTCAGTCCTACAGATTTGTATACTTGTACACATGTGCTAGGTTATTCATCAAGCATGTGATTTTTCTGAGATTTTAGTAGAATTTCTAGAGGAAGGGGAAAGATTAGTATTCATTCTGGCTTTTTTTTTTTTTTTTTAAGTAGGCTTCATGCCCAAGATAGGGCTCGAACTCACAACCCGGAGATCAAGAGTCACACGCTCTACTGACTGAGTCAGCCAGGTGCCCTGATTCTGGCATATTTAACCAGAGTTCTGCTGTTCACATTTTGACTGATATTTAAATTATTTCTCCCTCTTCCTCTCTCTCATTCCCAAGTGTGCATAGCTGAGTTTGTATAAGTTAAATGTGCTGCCAATGAGACTTCACGGTGACACTGGGGTGGTGGCTCTCAGCACTGGCTGCACTCTGGAAACACTTGTGAAGTTTTAAAAACAATGTTGATGTCCTAGTCCTGCCTGCAGAATGCTGATGATTTGGCCATGGGGTGGGGTGGGGTAGGCATTTTATACATTTTATAAAAGCTCCTCAGGTGATTGTTATGCCCTTAAGTGTTGGTAAGCAGTGGTCTAGAACCTTCTACTTCTTGGGCCAGCAGCACTGGCTTCCTCTAGGAGTAGAGAACAACTACAGAATCTTAGGGCCTACCCCAGGCACACAACTATGCTGCCCCCTGGGAATTCTATACTGTCTCAGCCTATAGCAAGGGGTGCATGAACTCACACAGGTCTTTTCTGTTCTTGGAAGGTCTAGAGGTCGAAGAATCCACTGTGTATTCATGTATGATCCAGGCAGCTGCACAGCAAAGAGACACCTGCCTAACTATCACTCCAACGGTGTTGGGCGAGAGGCACCTGCCGGACCAGCTGGCCTCAGTGACCAGAATCTCCTCCTCTGATCTCTCCCTGGGGCACGTGACCCGGGCCCTGTGCCGAGGCATTGTTCAAAACTTGCACTCCATGCTTCCATTTCAACAGCTCAAGGAGTGGGGTGTGGAGCGGGTGATTGGCAGTGGGAGTGCACTGTCCAGGAATGAGGTGCTGAAGCAGGAGGTGCAGAGGGCTTTTCCCTTCCCAGTGTCCTTTGGGCAGGATGTGGACGCAGCTGTGGGGGCAGCTGTGGTCATGCTCCAGAGAAATCTTAACCAGAGGGAGTCTTAATCAGTGCATCCTTTGGCCAAAAGACTGTTGCAAATTTTATCTAAGTAACATTCCCGACGTGACCTTGTGGTCATCCTTTTCCTGGACAGTTTTCTGGGCAGCTTTTAAGCAAAGCTTGTTTTCAGGGCACCATCTTGACCAAGAACTTACCTTCATCCTCTAATAATGCAGCCAGGACTCATCAACTAGATCCCAAATCAGTGCTTTCTAAGAGACTCACTTGGGAATTGGTTGCAAATGTAAATATGGAAAAAAGAGAGAGGGACAAAGAAAGAAAAGGAACAGTAGCCCAGCATCGTGGTCAGCAGGCTCTTCTGTGATTCACCTGTAGACAAAGAGAAAATAAATGTGACTTCAGACACCAAAAAGTCTCCAAATAAGAAAAGAAGGCCCACCCACCCCCTACCCCCTGCCGCTCCAGCTTTTGGGATGATTGTATTTTGGGACATGAGGCCCAGACTTCGGTCACATGCGCTGTTGGAAAAGTCCTTCCCTACTGGATTGTACCATGTGTCCCAGCAGTCCCCCTCCCATTCTTGTTCTCCCTTGGCCACAGCTGGTTAGCTGAGGCAGGGCATGGCCCAAGATAATATGGCTCAAAGGTACATAGCAGGGAAGGAAAGGGGGGGGGTAGCATGACCAGCGAGGGAGACAGATGCTGCATGGCCCCACCATTCAGGCACATCGTTCCTAAGAGTCTGACCAGGCACCAATAGGACCCCTTTTCAGGGTGTGTCTGGGCAGCAGTGTTTTTGGCCCTGTACATTCTTGGGAATCTTTCCAACAGAGGGATGTGTCTGGGCATGCTCCTGTCAGAGAGGGTGGACAATTTACTCAGAACCCCTTATCCTGCGGCCCTAGCCTTTTTTTCTCTTGGTGTAGGCCTTGCTGGGCCACTATGTGTCCTGGCCTGCAGAAGCATCCCCCTGAAGTCAGCATCCCTGCAGGGATCCCAGAGCATCTTTTTTTTTTTTTTTTTTTTTACATTTTTAAAATTTTTATTTTAATTTTACTTCTTTTCAATTATTTTCTTTTTTTTTAAATTTTTTATTGTTATATAAATCACCATATATTACATCATTAGTTTTTGATGCAGTGTTCCATGATTCATTGTTTGTTCATAACACCCAATGCTCCATGCAGAATGTGCCCTCCTCAATACCCATCACCAGGCTAACCCATCCCCCCACCCCCCTCCCCTCTAGAACCCTCAGTTTCTTTTTCAGAGTCCATCATCTCTCATGGTTCGTCTCCCCCTCTGACATACTCCCCTTTTCTTCCTCTCCTATTATCTTCTTCTTTTTCTTTTTTCTTAAAATATGTTGCATTATTTATTTCAGAAGTACAGATCTGTGATTCAACAGTCTTGCACAATTCACAGCGCTCACCGTAGCACATACCCTCCCCAATGTCTATCACCCAGCCACCCCATCCCCCCCCCCCCCAACCACTCCAGCAACACTCAGTTTGTTTCCTGAGATTAAGAATTCCTCATATCAGTGAGGTCATGTGATACATGTCTTTCTCTGATTGACTTATTTCACTCAGCATAACACCCTCCAGTTCCATCCACGTTGTTGCAAATGGCAAGATCTCATTCCTTTTGATGGCTGCATAATATTCCATTGTGTATATATACCACATCTTCTTTATCCATTCATCTGTCGATGGGCATCCTGGCTCTTTCCACAGTTTGGCTATTGTGGAGATTGCTGCTATAAACATTGGGCTACACGTACCCCTTCGGGTCCCTACATTTGTATCTTTGTGGTAAATACCCAGTTGTGCAATTGCTGGATCGAACGGTAGCTCTAATTTCAACTGTTTGAGGAACCTCCATACTGTTTTCCAGAGTGGTTGCACCAGCTTGCATTCCCACCAACAGTGTAGGAGGGGATCCCAGAGCATCTTAAACCTTCCTGTAGTTGGTAGGCATGAACATGGATGGCATGGCTTCCAGGAGAAAGCCATCATTGCTGCATCTAATTCCAGACTCCTAAGAGTGATCCCAAGGCTCAGGCAGGCCTGACTCTGAGGCATCTGGGCAACTATGAGTCTGGGAAGCAGTCTTGTTGTCTCTTTGTAAATATCACTTTACGAATCATGTGATTGTCCGAAGCTCTTAGATTAATCTGCCTGGCCATGCTGATTGGATTTTAGATACTAAAGCTCATTCTTCCAGAGCCTTGTACCTTTAATAAGACATACCTGTCTTCTTTGGGATTGTTGTAAATTATGGCATAGCTGCAGAGCTTGGTTTGGGAGGTTGGACACAGCCCTGAGGATCATTTGTAGGTTGTACTATAGAAAACCCCTGCTTGCCCCACAGTTCTGCCAGGACAAGTGGCTGAAGATCACTCAGGAAAGTCATGTGAGTTTTCTCTCAGCTAGAATGAGTCGACACCATTATTTTGGAGCCCCTGTGGGAGGCCTGTGAGAGAGAAGCCACCTTGGAATAGGCTGAAAGGTAACAGCCCTGTCCATCAGGAGGAATTGGCCCTCCGACTTCGGGGAGGCAGCCTGTCTTGTGTCCTCAGAGTGCTGTGGATGGAGTCTGTCAACGTAAGAGGAGAACCTGGATGCAAGGCCAGGAAGCCCAGCCCAGTGCCCAGTGTGGTGCTGGGACTCCCTGTTCCCTTTCCACATGTCCCCTCTATTTCTGAGGGCTGAGCCTTGTGCTGTCCAAGCTTGTCAGCTCAGAGCCGTGCTGCTGTATTTATTGCACCTGGCCTGGGCCTCTGCAGGGGGGTTGAACATAGTTTCCAGGGCCTCGTTTCTTCAGCCTGAAGTCACAAACCACTCACTGCTTTTGCTGTCATTCCTGGAAGGTACCAGTGTTTGATACCAGCACGATCCTCATATGAGCAACTGGCCTTGAGGACTGCCTGCCCACATCCAGATCTTACAGGCACATGGCAGGCTCACACTTGCCTACCTGATTGTTTCGGCCAGTGAAACGTGAGCAGAAGTGTGTCACTTGTTCTGTGCCTTCAGGCCAGTTGTGTGGGCCTTTAGGAGCCAGTGTGTGATGTGTCACATTCCCTTCCTTTTGCCACCAGTGACGGGTAGTGTCCCAGAGAAGGGCTCTGTCAGCTTGGGTTCCATGTTAGGACCGTGTGGTGGAGAACCCTCACCAATGAATGAGCAACGTGCAGTATGACTAAGAAATAAACCTTTGATGTTTGAAACCACTGAGATTTGGGGGTTGTTTGTTACCACAGCATAACTCAGTGTATCCGGACCACTACAGCCACCCTAGAGACGTACCTAGGCTCAACTGCACCCAGCACAGACTGACACATTTATCAACACCCACTAGGAGCTGGGTTTTCTGTCAGGACAATGATGAGTTGTTGAATTTCCATCACTAGGGAATGAAATAAACACTAGGACAGATTTGTGTGTGTGCAGAAGGAGGAACAATTCATTCTTTATGTAAGTGACACTGAGCTAAACCTTGGAGAGTTTCAGTCCATCAATACCAACAACAGCTAACACTTTTTGAGTACCTGCTTTGTACCAGGAGCTAATCTAAACTCCACTTGTTCGGACCTATTTGATCTTTATGGTGATCCTAGAAGGTGAGTACTATTATCTTCATTTCTCAGATGAAGAAACCGAGACACAAAAATGTTATGTAACCCACCCAGGATCATAACCCTAGGATTCAGCCCCAGGGCCCACTTCCTTCAGTGTTCTGGGCTGAGAGAGCAAATGTGTTGACATGAAAGACTGGCATGAGCAGGGTGTGATGAATTGTCTGGTGTAACTTGGTTATAGGGCATATGAAAGGGTGTGGTAGCACTTGTGACTGGAAATGTCAGCCAAACTGTGAGGGGTCTTGGGTGCCAGATGGCGGGGTTTAGACTTTCTCCTGTGGGCAGTGGAGTGGAGGACAGGCTTCATGGGCTTCAGGAGTAGAACTGCCAGTGTGCAGACTCTAGATTGGAGAACGGGTGTTGCGGAAGGCAGGGGCCCAGTTGGAGGGGCCTAGAAAGCAGCCTGTGAGACATGGTGGCCCGAACCAGCCTGGGGACAGAGGCTGCCCCCCTTACCCTTCCTTTGGCCCTTGACTATGACTAGATCCATATGTTTATGTGGCTTTCATGTTCTCTCTTTTTCTTCTCAACTGGACTGAAAGCTGCTTGAGGGAAGGGTTCCTCTTAAGCTGTTCTCTGATCTGTCCTTCTGCCTAATCTTGGGCTGATGCCCATGTTTGGAATGTCCTCCCGGGGCTGAACATCATACCAAGGCCCAGCTCAAGTGCCATCTTCCTGCTATACAGACTCCCTGGCAGCATATTTCTCACTGGATTATGATTGCAGCTGACATCCGGGACCCCGCTCAGTGTTTGCTGTTGGCATGGCATATTGGCCCCTGGCTTGTGCCTTTTACAGGGCCCCCCACTCAGTAAAGTGTCAGAGAGAGCCTAGCAGATCTTCCTCCTCATGCATCCTGGCCTCCTTGAGGGCAGAGACCAGCTTATTCACCCTACTCAATTGCTGTGGGTTTGCTAGTGCTCAGTGGTCCTTCAGGAAAGAGGGCAGTTTGCACCTGACCTCTTGTCTCAGCCACAGTTAGATGGACAGATCACATCTTTGAAATCGAGAGATTCTGGGTTTAGAGATGCTCACTGTATGAGTCATGAAACATTAAGCAAATCTTGGGTTGTTTTTTTTTCATTAAAAAACAATTAGTCACAACCTCAAGCTAATGGCCAGATACAGCTCAACAGTCAGCAGATGCGGTTCTCATTTGAAATAATGGTAAGAACCATAATCCGTCGTGCCTGCCTAGAGCTTTACCAGCTCACAGAGACCATTCACACCCCGTATCCTTATTAATCCCCCAGAAAAGCCCTATAAAGCAGGTAGGGCAGGTGCTCTCGCCCATTTTGTGGATGAGGAAGCAGGCCCAGAGCTTTAGCTATCAGCCCAAATATATGCAGTGGGCGTCTGGCACAGCTGGACCTCCTCTCCCGCCTCCGTTCTCTGCCCATGCTCCTGATCTCTTCTCCCTTTTGTTTCCAGCCCCACCCTGGGTCCCAGCTCTGCAGAGCAGGGCTCAGTTTTGGGGTGCTGAGTGGATGCCTCATCCCTCCCTGGCTTAGGTGGCCAGCTCCATTCACTTCTGGAGTGCACTGACCCCTCTCACAGAGCCCTGCCCTCCACAGGAACTGACTCACGTGGGTACCTGGTGATGCTAATGCACAGACCAAATGCAGAAAGGAATGTAGGTTTGCTGTTTGCCATCTGCACCTGGGATCCCTGAAACCATTTAAAATCTGGGAGGCAAGACACAAAAATCAGGGAAGTTAAATGTCAACACAAGGTTTAGAAAGCTCAAGATGAGACTAGTAGAGCTGACA